TAGAAAAGTTTAAGTCTATAACAAAAATACCTGATGAAGAAGAAACGTCCCCGTTCTTCTTATCTTCCTTGAACTTGAGGCAATCCCGTTTCCAATGTCCCTTCTTCTTGCAGTAGAAACATTCGGAGTCGGATTTGGAAGAAGCTACCTTCTTGTCCTTGCTGTTTTTGGCAGTGCTTGACTTAGGCGGAAAATTCTTCCTTTTTCCTTTAAAGCTTTTCTTCTTGCCCGGACGCTTGAATGGCTTGCCCTTCCTCACCATGAGCATGTCATGCTTGCCCTCATCCTTGAGGGTTTGCTCAGCTTGGTTCAACATACCATGAAGCTCGATGAGGGTTTTCTCCATGCTATGCATATTATAGTTCATCTTGAACTGATCATAGCCTTTGTGAAGCGAGTGGAGAATGATGTCAATTGCCATCTCGGTTGAATACCCAGCATCAAGCCTTTCCATGCTCTCAAATAATCCAATCATTTTGAGGACATGCAGGCTGACTGGCTCTCCTTTCTTGAGCTTACTCTCAAGGATCTGCCAGTGGGTTTTGAACCTTTCAGTTCGGGCCTAGTCTTGGAATATATTCTACAACTCAGAAATGATCTCAAAAGTCGTCTCCTTTTCAAAGAAAGTCTTTTGAAGTTCTGGAGACATAGTGGCCAGCATGATACATTTGACATCCCGATTGGAATTTTGCCATCTGTTAAGGGCAGCCCAAGTAACCTCCTCATTGGCATTGTTGGGCATTTCCTCATCAAGGACGTATTCCTTTTGCTCTTGCATAAGTACAATGCTTTGATTTCATTGCCAATCAAGAAAATTGGTTGTTGTTTGAGTTACTTGCAGACATTGTTCTACAATTGAAAGAATTTGAAATGAAAAACCATTCATACAATCAATAAGTTTGAAATTTAAAAGCGTTTATGCAAATTTTTAATCTTATTGAGCATTTTATCCACTCATTAATAATTTTGTCCCTTTTAGGCGAGAATAAAATGATTCCGAGATCCTAAAGATCAAGAAATGATTAAGCATGCTTTGACTTGTCTTAACATTAAATATCTTAAGGTAAGCAACCCAATTGCTAATAGCTCTAAGCTACTCTCAGTTTGATAAAATGTTGCATCTATTGCATTCTTGACATTTTATCTCTTTTGCCACGACTTCTAAGGACTCCTTACTGATATTGTTGAGCGTAACCAAGACCAATTCGTATACCTAGTATACCTTACGTTCCTAGGGAACTAGTGATGCCTCGCTTTGGCGTAGCCCATCACGTGCGCACATTAGTTCGGTAAGTGTTGTTCTTGGAATGACAAATTTTAGCTCAATATTTTTAAGGACCTAGGGTTTCTATGTTGGTTGATTTAAGTGAACTTAAATAATCATCACAACATATCGAAATCCTAAACATGCATCTATGATTCACAATATACATATATGAACATAACAACAATATATATAAGACATAAATTTGATGCATTTGGCAACTAGCATGACCCTTGAAATCTTCAAATCTTCAAGGGTCTTCATCTTGGCTCGTCTTCATCGAAACGCCGTCTTGAGACATCTTTGCCAAAATAAAATTACTAGCTATTACGACTAAGATTAATCTAAAGTACAAAATACTTAACGGTACGCAGGCCGTATTTAGAATTACAAAAATACGTAAAGGCACGCAATCCGTATTTTCTATCCTAGTCGGGTCCCACTATTGCCATTTTCTCAAAACCTGTTTTGAAACAATCTTTCGTTCACCCATTAACTATTTGTGAATAGCCCATGCATTTTACGAGATAAAACAAGTAAACACGCAAAACTAGTAACTAACTTAGGTGGTTAATCCGATTAACGCGCCTAATTAAAACTAGTCAAAGTTGTTTAATAAATTGTGTATTACTAAGGTGCAGTTTGTTCACATAATTAGCTAAGCTCCCACTAAATTCCGCATCCAACTTAATTAATGCAATTAATTAAGCCGGTTAACCCAAATTTGTCAAAATCAAAAATTTTGCAAAAGCCGGAAAAATCGAGGTCCAACCTCGTTAAAATAATTGCGTAAATATTTTAAAACGGCAAAATTTTCACATAACACATAGCCCGAAATTAAGCAAAAAACAGCCCACTCGTATCCTTGTGGGTTACGCACCATGGCTGCTAGGCAGCCCATGGGGTGTGCTTGGTGCGTGGTGCTAGCATGCAGCGCCTAGTGAGGCATGCTACGCTGCTAGCACCAGCAGCCTGCCTTGCATGCTGGCGCCTGCCACCAAGTGGCGGGCTGGCTAGGGCTTGCTGCCATGCTGCCCAGCAGCATACCCAAGCGCTCCTACAGCCTTGGCCTACTGCCCACGCATCAGCGCCCCTGCATCCCTCGCCACACAGCAGCGCAACATCAAGGCACAGCCCTGTGCGCACCATTGGTAGCCACTGCGGGCTGCGTGGGCAGCCCGGCTAGCCTTGGTGGCGCTTAGGATTTTTGCCTCGATTTGCGTGCATTTTTCTCGGGATTTTAATCCCAATATACTTGTGACGTAAAATTAATCTAAATTTATTTTAGAATTAAGTTAAGGCAAAATGAAAATAAAATAAGTCCAACTTAATTAAATTTAATTTTAATGGTGCACAAGCCTAAATTTCCAAAATTACCTTGGAATATTTTAGGTCTTTCTTGATGCTTAAAATTGAAAAGGCTATGTCCATAATTAATTTAACCAATATGCATATTAATAATGGATTTTGACAAATAGGAAGTTGGAAAAATAAACTAATCATCCAATGAAAAGTTTTCAAACTTTTATACTTGTGTAAAATAACAAAATTACATCTTCCAATATGAAGATTAATAAAAAAAAAATCACAAGCATTTGAACTTTAAGGATTTTAATCAACCAAATATGAAAAATCCAAAATTAGTTCAACATGGAATTTAGAGTCAAGATTCCAACCATTTAAACATTTAAAGATTGGATCTTTAACATGCTAGGAACTTTTACATTACACATTCACAATAAAAATTCACTTGTTAATGCAATTTATTTGCATAATTGTGAAAAACAAGTTTATGTGAAAAAGAACATATCAACTTAAGCACATATTATAACTCCATAATCATGCATAAAGGAAATTTAAATTGCAGTAGATTAGGGAAGCAATAATGCATTTAATCTACCCTTCACATGCTTGCATTAATAAAGGTATAAAAGATTTAAAAATTTCGTTGAAAACGAAAAGACCCACAAAAAATAGGTTTCTGGTTCGAATTTGGCTTCTGGACAGTGTTCGAAGAGGGTTCAAACTGATTTAGAACGTCGATTCCACCCAAAAAACACTATTTTTGAGCCAAAATCCGAGTTCCCAGACCAAAAACCGAAAAATACGAGATTAAAACTATTTTAAAAAGTAATTCTAATCTAATTAGAAAAGCAAAACCAGAATTTAATAAATAATTGCAATAATTAAAAGGAGCGCGGCTCCGATACCGTTGTAGAGTTTCGTAGAGACCCACTCTACGCGGAAGGAAACCCACCAAGAGCCGCCCCGATAACCAAAGCAATTAAAGCATGCAAAACATAATTAATACATAATTAAGAGAAAAGGGAGAAAGAGTTATACCCTAGACGCGTGCTTCGCTCAACTAAAGAGCTCTTACTTGAACCCCGCAATCGCAAGGTCTCCGACGGCTCGTACCCACGAACCCCGACCCGAGCGATCCAAGTCCCGAAGGTTAGTCGGGACCCGATCAAATAAAAAGGGAGTTTTACGAACTTAAGGCTTTCTCAACTATTGGAGATAACTTTTGAGTTCTACTCAAGGTGTGTATTCTCAATATCCCTACCAAGGGGTATTTATAGAGAATGGGGACTTGAATTTCATTTCATGATCAATGTGGGATCATGTGCAAATGCACTAATTTATTTAATTCTAAAACAAATTATTAAGCAAATGAAATCACATAGCAACAAGGTGCAAGAGGAGAGAATGGGTTAGGTGAGGACCATATCCCATGGGGGGACCATTGCCATGCTCCCCAAGGGAAGCCTTGTGGCCTTGGTCCACACCTCTCCTAAACCGCCACTCACAAAGGGAAGCTGGGCTGGCAACCAGCTAGCACGCCAACACACCAGCCAGCACGCACTAGCCCCAGCACGCCTAGCATATGCGTGCTGCGTGCTGCTGGGTTGCTGGGCGCTGGGCGCTGCTAGCGTAGTGATGCTGCCTAGCCAACGCGCACACACACGCACAACCTTGCTGGCTGATGCGTAGTGCTGACCCTGGTTTCTGGCACCTGCGCATAACCAGCATGCGTGCTGCTAGCGAGCCACGCATGCTGGGCACTGCCTTACTAGCCACACGCACAAGCACGCTATTACTTGGTGCGGCGCTAGCGATGCACACACACATGGCGATGCTGCCTAGTGCTGTGCTATGTGCTGCGATGGTGCGATGAGCGATGCTAGGCCTTGCCTAGCGCCAGCGCCTAGCATGCAAGCAAGGCCTAGCCTTGCGATGCTTGGGCACATGGCTTGCTAGCATATGCGCAAGCACCTAGGATGCCTAGCATGCTAAGCTTGCGATGAACTAGCCTAGCCTAGCACTCACATGGCAAGGCCAATGTGATGCTACGGTTATGATCATACTTGTTGCTTGTGATTTTGCGACGCTCGGTTTCGACGCCCTGGGCTCGATATCCGAAGTCGGTGTTCGTAAAACTCCGACGACTCATCGAATCCTTCGGATTGATTCGTCGTCTCGGATCGGTTGTTCGATTGGGTTCGACTTGAAGGGTTCAGTTAAGATTAAGCTGTAATATTAATTGTACCTTAATATTACTGATCGGAAGCGGCCTCCACCTAGGCATTCCGATCACTAGACCTTACTGAAGAATTAGCTATGTAATAATTATGAACCCTTTATCAGAATAATACACTTGTTAGAAGGACACCATTCCTTTCAAATATAGGAGCTGCTTATGCCCAACACTTAACCAATATATCTCATGATGCAGATATTGCTTTTCGTTGGCCGGATATGCAAAGCTATGCCAAGAGAATGCGAAGGACCCTCACCCGGTCTGAGAAAGAGGCGGTACCGGGTATCAACCAGGTCAACATTGACCGCATAACCTCACTGCTGGCTGAGGTAATATACCGGTTGGGGTACTTTTGGGTAATTTTGCAGATATACCGGATGAGGTACTTTTGGGCAATTTTGCTAATTACCGGTTGTGATATAACTGAACTAATTTCTTTTCCGATTGACTTTGCAGGTAATGTTGAGGGTAGATGGGTTGAAAGCCCCCTTGTGGAAGAGGCAAGAGGAGGTAAGGGATGCCCAAAGACGGGCAGCCGAATTAATTGATGTCTGTCAATATAACTCCCTTATGCTTGAAGCAGCATGTTTGAGCCAAAGCAGCTACTTGGCCACGACAACAAAGCAACTTGTTTGAGTAAAATCGCAAAGAATGCTTCTGAAAGTATAGCTGGTCGGATCTTTCTCTACATGGCATGCTTGGTTGAGCAACCAAGCAATCTGGCCGAGCTGGGTGTATGTTGACCGAGTAGCCCCTGGCCTGGCCGAGCAGCATTTCCGCACAAGCATAAGAACTCCACCAAGGTAACCAAACTATTGTCCGAGCAAAGCTGTTCGAGTTGCCATCATGCAAAGCTTCATGTTTTGAATTTGGTACGGCCAAGGCAGGCTGGCCGAGTGAAAATGCAAATATGCCCCTTCTAGCATAGCTGGTCGGCAGCCAACATGGCCGAGCATCAAACTGACTGGACGAGTTACCCTTCAAAGATGCACCAGGTTCTTACTTTTAGGTGTCCAACAACCTGTCCAAGGGAAATAGAAAGCTCGCCCTCGCAAACATACTTGGTCGGCCATGGATGGGTGTCCGACCTGTCTTCGAGCAAAGAGCCACCGAATGACTTTTAGGCGGACACAAGCCTGGTCGAGCTATCCATAAGGCTGAGTAACATGAGGCCGAGTAAAATAGGGGAACATCGCCTGGTGGAAGAATTGAATATTACAAAAAAAATATTTTCGGATAGGGAAATGAGCTAACGAGTCCAACTCTCTACTATGCAATGAACAATAATCTTTTTTAGCCATCTGAGTTCGTTTAAGGCTCGCAAAAGGCACTTAAACGTTTTTTGAGTCAAATAAAATGACAAAAATCATGAGCGATAAGGCCGAATGGTGGTGATACTGTGAGACGACATCATTATTATAATTCTGAATATTGATTAAAAAAAAAAGAAAAAGAAAAAGAAAAAGATAGAAGGCTTGTCCGAGTTGCCTGGCCGAGTGAAATGTGAAAGCTCAAAGCCTCTTCTAGCTGCCTGGCCGAGTGAAATTTGAAAGCTCGCTTTCACAAGCAAAGATGGTCGGGAATGGCTAGGTGTCCAAGCTGCTATTTAGCAACGGACCTCCTAATCAAATTCAGGCGGACATGTACTAAGTTGGCTAATATGCCGAATGAAGTTGGGTGTCCGAGCTGCTGTTGAGCAAAGGACATCCTAATCACTTCGAGGCGTACATGTAATGACTTGGCTAATTTGCCGAATGAAGTTGGGTGTCCGAGCTTCTATTCAGCAAAGGACCTCCTAATAACTTTCAGGCGGACAGGCGGACAAGAGATGACTCAGCTAATGCACCGAATGAAATTAAATATAGATTGCTCATTGCATCCCAAGAAGGCAGCGCAAAAATGCTGAAGAAAAACCAACATGTACAAGTAAGCATGGTTGGTCGGCAAAAGCAACCGGGGTAGGTGGGCCGAGCTGCTATTGAGTAAAGGACCACCTTCTCATTTCTAGACGGCCTTTGTCTTGCCGAGCAAGGTGGCCGAGCTGCTATTCAGCAAAGGACCATCTTCTCGATTCTAGGTGGCCTTTGCAAAAGAAGTTAGTCAGCACAAACAATTCGGCACCAAGGTAGACCAGCAAGCTATTGGTCCCCTCGCCGAATATGGATATGAAGCCGAGCTGGCCATACAAATGAAGCTAGCTTTGAAAAAATAGGCGGCATGAATAATAATATTGTCGAGCATATTGCATAACCACTGCCAAGTGGGCAAGAGCTAAGGTCGACCAACACCTTGTCCGAGCAGACGTTGCGTGTCATCTCCCAAATATGGGCATGCAAGACAACTCTATGTCAACAGCATAACTACTAAGTAAGATAGCCGAGCTTCCCTTGAGTGAAGCATTTTGAGGCCTCACAACCATGAATTTTGTTATACAACACTTGATGGCCAATATTCGGCATACTTGGGAGAGATTAATGGCATGGCTTGCCCTCGTATGCATAGCTGATCAGTGGAGGCCGAGCTGCCCTCTAGCAGTGGATCACCTTCCAACTTTCATTCGGCATACTTGCCGAGTAAAGTGGTTAAGCAAGTCTGTAAAGGCCGAGCTACCCTCAAGCAAAGGAACACCTCTTTGATTTTATTCAGCATGATTGGCTTAATGAAATTAACCGAGTTTGCTTATATGCAATTATCCACTCGGCAACTCTGAAAAAGTATATGGCACGAACAGCCTTGCAGACGACCTTCTTCAAAAAACTAAGTGGCATTCATAGCTTCATATGTTAAAGTGTCGACTATGATTATTTGCTCGACATTTAAGAGTCGACTATAAAGTCAAAGCATTCAAGATAGCCTTTGTCCAAGTAGAACTGTCGTAGATGGTGTAATGACGATAAATGATGGGCAAGAGAGCCTTTTGCGAGGAAAAGGGCTAAGTGACAGCCAACCATGTTTCTTTCATGTTGATTGGCAACCGATTGTTAAACAACGAGGCGTACTGGCCGAGCTGACAAATGAAAGCGCTAACTCTTGTACAAAGGAAAAGGGGCAACAAAAGAGTCAATACAGACTTAGTATGCTCTACCCGATTGAGAACAGTACCGAGTAGCTAGCTAACTCATTGCTGACCAAGAGGAATCAAGGCCAAGAAAGCTCATGCATAGCAATGTGATGATAAAACTACTACGAGTATATACCAAAATCAATGGCCTAGCCAAATCATGCAATCAGTCGTATGCCGGCATGCAATATATGAAGTTAGGCCTCTTGAGTGTCGTCTAGCAACAAAGTGAAACCGAGCACTAAGATCAAGCCTATCCAAAATTAATCAAACGGCCGTAAGCCCAACCATGGATAGGGGCTAGTACTCAAAAGATAACAAAGCTTAGTGCACAACAAAGCAAGTGATCGAGATAGCCGACGCATGACCCAAAAGGCCTAGCTTGAGCAAATAATCTTCCTTTTGGAAGATAAGTTAGAAGAGTTAAAGTACCGACCAGCTAATGAGCAAACAACCTTCCTTTAGGAAAATAAGCGGCACTTGTGAGAAGCCAAGTGGACGAGGACCATTAGGCCTCGACTTATTACTAAAGACTGCAAAACGACAACAAATTTTGAAAGCTTAGTGCAAGAGTTACAATTAGGCCGAGTAGGCCCTCTATGATTTCAAGATGCCTACTAAGTGTCCGACCATCTACGCAAGCATTCATTGCTCACAAGATAGCTTCAAGGTCGGGTATCGTTGCAATATAATCAAGTTAATGATCAAAGACAGAAGAAAGCCTGTCAAAGATAAGATAGAGCAGCTTCTTCTAGTAATTGAACGACCAGATAACTAAACCAAATGCTCGCCGGCATATTTTATTCAAGTCTTTAAAAGACAAGCCACCCCATTGGGGCAATAAGGAAAGAATAAGGTCCCTGCGTTCCCTATTGAGTAGCCACTTCATAAAATTAAGGACGAAGGTTTCTTAGTATAAGGCTACGACCCAATAAATGTAAAACATATTAATACCTTCGGATAAGCCTCCTTCAATAGGGCAATATATAGATCTTTATATGGTCCAAGTTTATATTGAATGGCTCCTTCATCCGAACAAGTACGAAAAACTCTAGAAGAGCATGAGTTGTTCATGCAGCAGCCTTCCAAGTCTGAGTAAGACTTGTCATAAAAAGGAGAAAAATGGCACATATGTGAAAGGAATGGTGTCCTTCCAACAAGTGTATTATTCCGATAGAGGGTTCAGAATTATGAGAAAGCTAATTCTTTAGTGAGGTCAAGTGATCAGAATGTCTAGGTGGAGGCCGCTCCGATCAGTAATATTAATGTATAATTAATGTTACAGCTTAATCTTGAATAAACCCTTCGGGTCACACCCTAATCGAATAACCGATCCGAGAAGACGAATCAATCCGAAGGATTAGATGAGTCATTAGAGTATTACGAACAAAGACGTCGGATGTCGAGCTTTGAACGTCAACGAGACGAGAAATCAAACAAGCGACAAGTACGAGCTAAGCCATAGCCTCGCGTTGGCCTAACCATGCGAGTGATAGGCTAGCCTACACCACGCACAATGCCGAGCTTGCTAGAAGCGCATGCTAGCCAGGTGGTGTGGCATGGCAGCATTGCTGGCGCGCTAGGCGTGCTAGCATGCTAGTGCCTCGGATATAGGAGCCCTGTCGCAAGCATCGTAAGGCCAGCAGCACGCAAGTGCTTGCTTGGCCTTGATACCTTAAGCATCGTAGGCAGCATGCCTAGTATGCATGCGCTGTGGCTATACGTGCTTGCTAGCACAGCAGCACCGACCACACGCAGTTGGGCCTCGCACAAGCACACCCCACATTACACAGCACCAGCCCGCATGCGTGGCCTGCTTATTGCACGCATGCGGGTGCAAGCTGGCTGGGCTGTGCGTGCTAGCGTAGCAACACCAAGCAGCAGCATCGCAGCAATGCATGCGCTGGCTGGTTGTGTGCTGGCTGGCTGGGCTACCCATCCTTGGTGCTAGGCGCCAGCTGGCAGCCTTGGCAGCCAAGGTAGGATGCTAGCTAGCCAAGTGGGGTGGTTAAGGTTGGTCAAGGGAGGGGACCATTTTCTTGGTGTTTGTCTTGAGGAGAAAGGTGTTTTGGTCCCCCCCTTTGGTGGTCCTCACCAACCTTCTCCCTCCATGTGACACTTGGAGCTTGTTGATTGCCTTGCATTTTATTTTATTTTTGATTAAAATAAAATTGAGGAAAAATGCAAACCTCCCACATTGATGGGAGAAGGGAGATCAAGTCTCCTTTCTCTATAAATACCCAAGTTTTGGGTATGGGAAAAATCACTTGAGTTGAACTCAACAAGGCATCTCATCATTAGTGAGAAAACCTTTAAGTTCGTAGTACTCTAGTTTTATTTGGTAAAGTCCCGACTAACTTACGGGATTAAGACCGCCTGGGTCGGGTAGAGGGTGCGAGCCGTAAGAGACCTTTGCACTTGTGAGGTTTTAAGTTTTCAAGTAAGAGTTCGTGAATCGAGCGAAGCACGCTTCGAGGGTAAGAATGTCTTTTCTCCTTCTCTCCTTATGTTGTTATGTGATTGCATGTTTAGTCGCTTTAATTAGTGGGCGGGTCTTGAGCGGGTTTCTCTTCCGCGTAGTGTCGGACACTACGAAACTCAACAGCGGTATCGGAGCTGCGCTCATTTTAGTTATTGTAACTGATAATTAATTGAGGTGATTTATAACGGATTTAAATTCTGGTTGTGCTTTTTAATTAGATTAGAATCTCGTTTTAATTAGTTTTAATCTCGCATTTTACTAATTTTGGCCAATGAACCCAGATTTCGACTCTAAAATAGTTAGTTTTGGGTGGAATCGATGTTCTAAATCATTTTTTACCCTCTTTGAGAACTGTCCAGAAGCTAAAATCCACCCAAAAACATGTTTTTCGAGGGGTTTTTCGTTTTTGACGATAAATTTTAAATCTTTAAACCTTGATTAATTAAGGCATGTTAATGGTAGATTAAATGTATGGTTGTATCACTAATCTACTGCAATTATAAACCTTATTAAGCATGTTTATGAAGTCATAATTGGTGTTTAATTTGGTGAGTTCATTTTTCACATAAACTTGAAATTTCACAATTTTGCAAATTAATTGCTTCAAGTGTAAGTGTTTATGGTGAATGTGTAATTTTGAAGTCCCTTAAAATGTCAAAGATCCAATCTTTAATTGTTTATTTGGTTGGAACTTTGCTAGCTAAATTCCATGTTTAAACTAATTTTTGGATTTAATCATTTTTGAGTTGATTAAAGTCTTAAAAGTTCAAAACTTGTGATTGAAATTTAATTAATCTTCATATTGAAGATGAAAATTTTCAAATATACACACTTAGTGTTGGAAATTTTTCATTAGATGAATGGGTTTATTTTTCCAACCTCTTTAATTTTGTCAAATCTCATT